GTCTCTGTTTTAGGAAGAGTTGTCTTTATTATATTTTCATAATTCTATGTGGTTTTTGGGAGGAGAGTTCCACTGCTCTACTCACGCTGCCATCCTGGCTCCGCCCCCTGAAATAAGTACTTTTAAACCAGCTTCATAAGTTGTGGGGCCCAGTGGAAAATGAAAATATGGGTCCCTTATTCAAAAATCATTAAGAATTTCAGGACATCAGAGCATCAAATTAAATCCATGACTCTTCTATGAGAGGGGCTCTGTGCACCTGCACAGATCATATGCCCGAGAAGCCAGTTCTTCTATAATCCTACCACCCAGAGGCAACCACTATTCATAAATTGCATAAGTCATTTCTTTAATCCCTTTCCAATGCATAGTTTTTATTACATGGCTGAGGTCATACTATATGACAATGAAAATTTCATAGTCTGCTTTTTACATTTGACATTGTTTTATTTGCATTTTCCATGGCATTGAAAACTCTTCAGCCACCAAATTTAATAGCTACATGATATTCCATCATATGAATTGGTTGGCCTTTCAGCTCTTTCTAATATTTTCCTTTTTGAAATGTTGGTGAGAAATTTCTTTGCAAACAAATCTTTACTTGAATGTCTGATTATCTTCTTAAACTAAATTTCAACAAATGGAATTAACCATGTCAAGTACTTTAATATTTTAAGGCTTTGGATATATATTATAAATTGGTTTTCCAGAAACAATTTTAATCTCATCTTCAGCATCTGGCATTGGCATTTTTAAAAGTAAGAGTTATGCATTCTTGGAAGCCCAGTGCCTCATACAAAGACCTTAATGAACAAAATCATGGCAGAATGTTAGCAGTAGGTCACTTTTAGAGAGGACTTGCTTATTCCTGGCACTGTTGAAGCCTTTTACAAATAATCCTCACCACAAATCTATGAGGTAAGTACTATTGTTACCCAAATTTACAGATGAGAAAACTGAGGCAGGACAGTGGACTGTGCATCACAGTTCCAGGGTGCTGTTCACATAGGTCAGAGGCTGATCTGAGGCTCCCTGAACTAAGGCCAGAACTTAAGTTACCTGGCCATCATTTTCCATGCTCAGCTCAGGACACCCTCAGTACTACTATGTTACACTGATCAACTAACTTCCTACTCTCTGTGGTAAAGATCAAATTCCAACTTTTTTTCCCACACACCCATATCATCCTCGCCCATTTTCTCCTATATTCTCTGGAGAACTCCTTGCCTCATAATTCACAAGAAAAGAGAGGTCATCAGTCAGTATTTCACTCCCTCCCCAGCCCAGAGAATCACACCAACCTGCCTTTGCACCATTCCTGTCTACCACAAAGAAGGGGTGGTCCTTCCAAATATGAAATAAACATGCTTCCCGAGCTTTGAATACCATCCCTTCACTCTGACCATCCCTTCTCTCTCCGTGTACCCCACTTGGATTCACACTTGGTTTGCTCTAATTCCCCCTCTGGTTACTGCCCACGCTTCTCCATCTCAGAGCACAGTTTCTCTAAAGAATGGTTTTCAACTGCGTTGCCCATTTCTTTCTCCCCATTTACCCTTTAACTTCCTCCAAACTGACTGTCACCTCATGGCTACATGAAAATCTCTTCCTAAATTTGCTCTTGACCTTCATGGTGACAATCCAGTGGGCACTTCTCATCAGTGGTCACCTTCACTGACTTTTCAGAGGCATTCGGTGCAATCAAAGCCTCCATCGATTTTTAAAAAGTACCTCCCCCTGGTTTTCTTGACAAGTCTCTCCTGGTTTCCTTCCCACCTCTTTGGATATTCAATTTTAGCTATTTGTTGGTTGGTGTTCCACCAATTTCTTTAAGTCGCAGGTCCCAACTTTCTCTCCCCACCCTTGCAGGTGAGTTCATCCACTCCAAGGCTTGAATTCCCAAAGTCCTCTGTTTCAAAATCCAGGCCCCCACCAGCTTTCTCATTTCCCTTTGACTTCTCCAACCAGCTTAACCCTGGACACCACACAGAGCTCACATCTTTCCCCTTAAAGTCGCTCCTCCTTCAGTCCTCATGTCTCCATTTTTTCTGCAGCACTGGGTGCTGTGTCTCAGACACCCAAAGTGGGTTGCCTAATGAGTGAGTAAATGCATCCAACTTCACACACTTATTGGCATCACAGTGTTGTCACCCATGCTATAGTCCAAGCAAAGTCTAATAACTCTTAATAATGTCTACTGCTTAGTTTTTAAACTCCTTTACCTTTCTGCCTATTCCCCTTACTGTCTCCTCTTCACAAACCCAGCTATAAGGAACTGTAAGAAACATTTGTTCCTGAAATGAAAGCGTATTAAGATGAACTCTGACTTACTAATAAAAAAATGCTACTGTACACAAGGAGTGCAACAAAACTTAATCACTGCCTTTGAGGAGCAGTTGCCCTTCATGATACATTCATGAGCCAGTGTTGCTGGTGCTGCCAGCATTTTGTGTGTGTGTGTTCACCCAAAGGTCAGGAAAACAGTATGAGAGCTCTTCAGGTTCTAACCAATTCTCTTTTCACTCATGAAGCTTAGCTTTTACCAGATAGTTTTCCTTGTGATGTAAAAAACAAAGTGAGCAGATTTAAGGTTTCCTTCCTTTCTGTTGTTCCTTTACATTGAAGAAGTGGCTGAAAGTAGGGCAGCCCTAAGGGAGAAAGAGTAAGACAGTAAATTGCCTTAATCCACGGAATGGATTCACACCCTTGAAAAATACAATAAATGACTGGCTATCATATGGGCTTTTAAATACCCTTTATGCTACTTTGAACTCATTATACACAGTAGAAGAGAGAAAAGGTGGGTCAGAGAATACAAGCCAAAAGGTACTTTGAAAATAGTACTTGTAATTTTATATAAATGTGATCACATATACTCAGAATCATGTCTGGAAAAGCATCACCAACATATTCTGCCTCCTCTGCCTGAATTAGACCCTCAGTGGAAGAGCAGAAGTGAGCTGGGAATGTTTAACAACTGGCCTTTTTGAGAGACTCCTGATTTGAGGGGTTTGACAATGTCCGTGGTGTACATACTTCCACCATGGCTGATTTCAAGTTGCCAAGGTGACAGCACTCAAGAGAGCTGGGAAGAAATGGCTAGTGGTACACTTATATATTATTTCTACTGTCCAGACACAATAGATTTAAGTAACTACAAGAGCATAGATAGTAATAAAATGTAGTGAAATAATTAAGAAGTTGTAAATTTTGAATATTTATTACCTTTGTATTTGAGTTTATATAATTTAACTTTTTAATAATGTCTGGGTTTAATAACCAACTCACAAAATCCCTGAATATGTAATAATCAGAATGAGCCAGCTCACCCCTGGAGTGCAGCCGTAAAGTGAATTAGTAAATCATGCTCCTTTAAGTAAATGTTTATTGATTATAACAAAGCAACATGGGCTTTGGAGTTAAGCAGGCCTGGGTTCGGGTCCTTGGTCTCCCACCAGCTGTAAACATCCAGCAAGTTATTTAACTTCTCTGAACCTTAGTTTCCTGACCTGGAAAATCAGAAACTAATTCTTACAAGATTGTTTTGATGATTTAATTAGAGGAAGTACATCAGGTGCTACAGGCATGGTAGCTGTTACCATTTTCTCAGTTTCCAGATCTGCTTTTCCTGATTATTTTGATTGTTGGATTACTCTCTTTCCTCCAGAAGGCCTCCAAATCCTGCAAGGCAAATCAAGCTCCTTTGTTTCTATTTCCATCCTATTGACAAGCCTTCTCTATGTGTACTGCTATCATGTAGGGAGGAAGGGGAAATCTATTGAATCACGTGACAGAGGGAACCCACAGGCAAATAAAACAGGACGTTCCGTTGTGATAATAAGCAAAATTTGTGTTGATAAAACAGATATTTAAAGAGGGCTTGATAGCTCTTATTTTAATATTCACAGAAAAATTTTCTTATGGCTTTATGAAAATTTTTATTTTGAAAGATGGCCTCCTGGTTGAATCTTATGATCACAAAAGCATAGTTATTGTTTATTTTGTTATACTTCTCAAGATCAGCCACATACGGATTCAATTCTTAAAGAAAAAATAGATATATAATTTATTTCCACCATTGACTTCTTTATTTTCTTAAAAGCAAGTTGAGTATATAGATGGATCTTAATGCTGTTACAAACATATTGATTATTTTGGAGAAAACAAGATCTCCTGAAATAAATCTCTTCTGACTTGACAAGATGATGTGGTATCCCTTCATTTGTTTCTACGAAAATTATCCATTTCAAAGATGAGCCTTAGTTAAGGATTGTTTTTCCTTTGTTTTAGTAAGGAGCTAAAAAATGGAAAAAGAACATGCCCATAAAATGCATACAAAGTTGTTTCTATATCTGATATAATACTTAGGAGACCTAAACTTGATTATATACTAATGTACTATACTATTGATTGATTAGCCAGGGCAGTGAATTATTATACTCGCATTGCTATTTGCAAGGCTTTTTAACTATCTTAGAAAACAAACTAACGGTTCAAGAAAAAGCTTTAAAAATAAATGGGTGCCAAAAGGACATAATTCACCATCTAAGCAGTTTGGTTTGGAGGAAAAAAATATATTAACTTCATCTAGTCCTTGGGGCTTTGTAGCAATAAATATTGATTTGATATGAAAAATAGCAATCTACTGTAGTTAATAGTGTTAAGGCTACTTTACCCACTGAAAGAGGGAAAATGCAACAAAATATGAGCTCTGAGGTTATGTTGGTAAGCAGAACCATTGTATATTACTAGTTTTATTTCATAAAACACCACTCTCCATTGATTTTTTCTTCTATTGGAAAGCAGGTGCAACGTTGCTGAGAAAACATTTCACACATATTTCCGTTGTCAGTTTTTTCTAAACATTGGGGAAAAATGAAGCATCCCTGAAATGATAGGTTTTTTTGAATTTTTTTTTTTTTGCTCATGTACATGTATATATTTTAAAATGCACACACTCAAAGGTAACCATTCTTAGAACATACACTTTCTCTCAACAGTACCCCAGTTCCGTGCCCCGTTTTCGGTGGACAGCAATTTGTCCATGGTGTGTGTTAACTGGAGCAGCTCCTTCCTTCTGAACGGCCCCCTGAAGGAGTTCGTGGTCACTGATGGAGGGCAGCGTGTGTACAGCGGCATGGACACTGCCCTCTACATACCAAGGACGGTGGACAAAAGTTAGTTCTGACTCCCATTTCTCAGTGTCTAAGGTAGCTGTTTCCCAGCTTTCCAAGATGTTCAACTGAAAAGGTGACCAGCAGATGCTCATCATTAAAAAGTCTCTGTTGAAGTGTCCACTTCTTACCCCAAGTGGAATAACTTGGGTTATTAGAGTAAATAAGATTTTCCTTCCCATTTTCTGTTTGATGCATTGCGGTTCTGATGCCGCCGGAGGGAGAGGGCTGCCTGCGTGTGATGTGTGTCCCCACCAAGAAACGAGACAGAAGGGCAGGTTGTGTTCAGAAGGAAATAGGCCCACAAGCAGGCAGTGAGTGTCCTGAAGCAGCACACTCTCAGGGACTTGAGAAATTTTCCTGATGCACCCAAACCTTCCAAGCACACCCCAGCCAGGCACGGACCTTCTCCAGCCCTTCAGACCCCTGAGTAAGGCTTTCCTTAAACAACCTCAGTATCTGTTCCTGAAATAACATCCTTTTCCCTCTAAAACTGACATTTTTCTCCCTGTTTAATTACCTGTCCTTCTTCTGTTTGCCTCATTTTTAAATTGAAATGAGAAAAAGTTTGCAATAAGGTAATAAGTACTTTCTAATGATCCATGTGGCCACCAGACCAATAGATGTGAAGCCATTTAGAGCAATCTGGATTTATGCAATGAACTAATTAGTGGAATTTTTTTTCCCTTGAAAATACTATTTATTTGGGCTTAAAGATACAGGTAAACAATGAGCTCTGGCATTGCATTTATAGAATTTGTATAAGTTTGTATAAATTTTTACAATTCAGCTATATATTTTCATGGTTACCTAGGTTCTTAGTCACCTGGGTAGTTTTCTGTGATGGAAAGACTGACAGTCAGGAGATCTGAGTCCTACTCCTGACCAGAATCCTACCCATCTGTGACCTTACAAGAGTTGCATCCTCAGGTTCCTGGCTATGGGAAGAAGTGATATTTAGGTCACTTGATTTCCAAGATCCCTTTTGAGCTCTCCTGCTTAGTAAGAAATTCTGGGTCACTTAGTGAAAGGGACACCTAAAGTCTTAAAGGAACAAGTTTAGACCATATTCAAAACAAGATATACTTTATGTATTATCTTTTATTCCTCTGATAATTATTTTCCTTTGCTATATAAACTCTAAGCTCTGACATATACACTACTATATGCTATATATACACTAACTAACATACACTAACATATATGCTATTATTACACTTTAACTCTTTTTCTTGATAATTATTAAATTAGAATTAACTTTGGATATTATGTAAAACCTCACAACTTGATCTGCAATCCTGTTTGCAGACATTTTCATGCTATGATACATTGTGTTCCTAAAAGTATGCCCTATTTGTAGGGGTTGAATGACCAAGCCATTTACCATTTGTCCAGCCTTTTTTTTCCAGGTCATCTGCACTACAGAGGAAGGAAGTGTTAAGACACCTCTGATCCAATACGATACCTCTACTGGATTTGGTAAACATTTAACTCATATTTAGTGTTGCGCCTACTTATTTTGCTAAAGAAACATGTTTGTTTATATAAACTTTTGCTAATATGTTAGCATAGACTGCATGGAAAGAATTGTGTTAAGTGTTGTAAGAAATTTTTTTAAAGTCCTCATAGAATATGCATTAGGCAAGGAATTAAGATATACTCTTAAAATGCCAAATCACTGAATTGCAGATACAGAGAGATATGATTAGGCTTCTCTCTTAACCACAAATTCTGTCAATAAAGGGCTGTATTTTGTTTACAATAAAAAAGTGATTTATACTGTTTTAATTACTGTAGCTCAAAGTCAGAGAGCATGATATCCCCACCTTTGTTCTTCTTTTTCAAGATTGCTTTGGCTATTTGTTGTCTTATGGTTTCATATGAATTTTGGGATTATTTGTTTTAATTCATTGAAAAATGTCATTGGTATTTTGATAGGGATTGTACTGAATCTGTAAACTGCTTTGGGCAGGATGGCCATTTTGGCAATATTAATTCTTCCTATCCATGAGCATGGGATAGATTTCCATTTATTTGTGTCCTCTTCAGTTTCTTTCATAGTGTTTTACAGTTTTCAGACTCTTAAGTTTTTTACTTCCTTGGTTAGGTTTATTCCAAGGTATTTTTTTCTTTTTGATGCAATAGTAAATGGAATGGTTTTCCTGATTTCTCTTTCTCCTAGTTCCTTGTTACTTTGTAGGAATGCAACAGATTTCTGTGTATTGGTTTTGTATCCTGCAATTTTGCTGAATCCAGTTATTAGTTCCAACAGTTTCCTGGTGGAGACTTTAGGGTCTTCTATATATAGTGTTATGTTATCTGCACATTGTGATAGTTTTACTTGTTCCTCACCAATTTGGATGCCTTTTCTCTCTTTTTCTTGTCTGATTACCATGGACTATGGATGGCTAGGACTTCCAGTCCTATATTAAATAAAAGTGGTAAGAGTCAGCATCCTTGTCTCATTCCTAATCTTAGAGGAAAAGCTTTCATCTTTTTGCCATTGAGTATGATGTAGCTGTGGGTTTGTTGTATATGGCCTTTTATTATGTTGAAATATTTATACCCATTTTGTTGAGAGTTTTTGTCATGAATGGATGTTGAATTTTATCAAATGCTTTTTCAGCATCTGTTGAGATTATCATGTATTTTTTGTCCTTCTTTTTGTTAATGTGCTGTATCACATTGATTGATTTATAAATATTGTACCATCCTTACATCCCTGGAATAAAAACCACCTGGTTGTGATGGATGATCCTTTTGAAGTTGTTTTGAATTGGGTTTGCTAGTATTTTCTTGAGGATTTTTATATCCATGTTCATCAGGGATATTGGTCTGTGATTTTCTTTTTCTGTAGTGTCTTTGTCTGATTTTGTTATTAGAGTGATGCTGGCTTTATAGAATAAGTTTAGAAGAATTCCTTCCTTTTCTGCTAATGGAATACTTTAAGAAGGATGGGTATTAGTTCTTCTTTAAATGCTTGGTAGAATTCAGCAGTGAAGCATCTGGTTATAGAATTTTGTTGGGAGTTTTTTGATTACCAATTCGTTTTGTCACTGCTAATTGGTCTGTTCATATTTTCTGTTTCTTCCTGGATAAGTCTTTTAAGGTTGTATTCTAGGAAGTTGTCCATTTCTTCTAGGTTGTCCAATTTATTGGCATATAATTTTTCATAGACTTGTCTTATAATTCTTTGTATTTCTGTGGTGTCAGTTGTAATTTCTTTTTCATTTCTGATTTTGTTTATTTGTGTCCTCTCTGTCTTTTTCTTGGTAAGTCTGTCTATGGGTTTGCCTATTTTGTTTATCTTCTCAAAGAAGCAGCTCTTGGTTTCAATGATTTTTTTCTATTGTTTTCTTATTCTCTATTTTATTTATTTCTGCTCCAATCTTTATTATTTCCCTCTTTCTATTAACTTTGTGTTTTATTTGTTCTTCTTTTTCTAGTTTCTTTAGTTGTGTGTTTAGATTGTTTATTAGGGATTGTTCTTGTTTCTTGAAGTAGGCCTGTATACTTCCCTCTTAGAACCGCTTTCGGTGCATCCCACATACTTTGAACTGTTATGTTTCTGTTTTCATTTGTCTCCGTGTATTGTTTGATTTTTCTCTTTGATTTGTTCATTGATCCATTGAGTATTTAGAAGCATGTTGTTTAGCCTCAATGTGTTTGTGGGTTTTTTGGTTTTCTTCATGTAAATGATTACTGGTTTCATACCATTGTGATCTGAAAAGATGCTTTATGCAATTCAATATTTTTTAATTTATTGAGGCTCTTTTTGTGCCCTAATATGTGGTCTATTCTGAAAAACATTCCATTAGCTCTTGAGAAAAGTGTGTATCCTGCTGATTTTGGGTCGAATGTTGTGCATATATCTGTCTAATAATTAAGTCTATCTAGCCTAATGTGTCATTCAATGCCTCTGTTTCCTTATTTATTTTCTGTCTGGATGATCTGTCCATTGATGTAAGTGGGGTGTTAAAATCCCCTAATATAATTGTGTTGCTCTCTGTTTCCCCCTTTAGATCTGTTAGTATTTATCTTATAAACTTATTGCTCTTATGTTGGATGTGTAGATATTTATAATGATTATATCCTATTGTTGGACTGATCCCTTTATCATTATGGAATGTCCTTTTTTGTCTCTTGTTACTTTCTTTGTTTTCAAGTCTATTTTTGTGTGATAAATACTGCTACTCCTGCTTTTTTCTCCCTTTTATTTGCATGCAATATCTTTTTAAATCCCTTTACTTCAGTCTATGTATGTCTTTAGGTCTGAAATGGGTTTCTTGTGGAAAGTATATAGATGAGTCTTGTTTCTCTAGCCTTCTGTCACCCCATGTCTTTTGATTGGTGCATTTAGTCCATTTACATTTAAGGTAATTATTGATAGGTATGTACTTACTGCTATTTTATCAATTGTCTTCCGGTTGTTTTGTAGTTCCTTTCTTCCCCTCTTGAACTCTTCTCTTGCTATTTGATGGTTTTCTTTAGTGCTATGCTTGGGTTCCTTTTTAAAACTTTTTGTGTATCTATTATAGGCTTTAAGTTTGTGGTTACCATAAGTTCCACGGATATTTTCCTAAATATATAACAGTCTATATTAAGTTGATAGTTGCTCTATTTTGAACACAGTCTAAAAATACTACTTTTTTATTCTTCTTTCTCCTCCACATTTTATATATAAGATATCATAATCAACATCTTTTGTGTATCCCTTGACTAATTTTGTGTATACTTAATTTTACTACTTTTGTTTTTTAACTTTATACTTCGGTTTATTTTCACTGAGGAAAAAAATTATAATTTTTATGGAGCATCTTTTAAATTCTATCCACCATCTTTGAATCTAACATATGTGATACTTTACAATTTCAAAGGGTTAGAAAAGTACAAAATCTATTCCATTGGAAAAGAATTGGGATTGATACCTTATTTTAAATTTCAATAAGTAGTGTTCTTTTTTTTAATCCATGTAGAGTTTTTTTTAATAAAAATGTCTAAAAATTCTGAAAGGTGAATGAATATACATATTATCAAAGATGGTTTCAATCTTTAAAAACAATAAAAACATTATTCTGTGTTTCCAGACTTTATGTCTGGATGTCATATAAAATTTCATACACCTAACATGATGCCTCCCACATACTCTACCTAGTTTCCTTTAAAGCAGCTGTGGGGTAGAGCAGACCTCATTCGTTGTTGTTTTAGTGACTCCAGTGTTTCCATATGTGAATAAATGGAGGCCTGAGAGACACCAGAACTTACCAAAAATGTTCTTCAAGATCGTTGCCAACATGAGAACCTGAACATGGTTTTCCTGTTGACTCCTGGCCCCGTACCTTTTTCTTGGGCACTGTACTCAAATGTGAGTGTGCTTAAGAACCGTCTCAGTATGTTTGTTTATTATTTCATGTCTCAGGCCCCAGGCAGAGATTCAGAATCAGGAGAACCCGGGAATCTGCTCTGTAAACAAGTCCGGCTCACGGTTCTGGTGCAGGGGGCCAGGACCACAACTTGAATAAAACCACATAACCTAGATTCATCCGCATTCTAACTCCTGCCAGGCCAGTCCTCTCAGTCAATGCCAAGAACTTGTTCCCTTGAGGCAGGCAATTCACGTGGAGGGACTTACCCTGCCACCTGTGCTGGGTCGGGTGTTCCCTTGGAGTAGAGGCCCAGCCTCTGGAGCCCCCTGCCCTGACCATGAACCTCCCATTTAATAGGTGGAGTCCCTTAAAATGAAAGGGACTTTGAAAAGAAAACAGGGAAGGCATAACTGATTATCCTGATTGTAACCTCTTCTCAAAAGAGGAGAAACCTCCTGTGGGCTCAGGAATACAAGGTGAGGTTTCCACTGATGAGACAAGGACCAGGCTGGTGGGAAGTTCTGGAAAATTCTAAAACATATTGTCTAACTAAAATCCAGAGTCAGTTTTGATTCTTATGACACTGCTTTTAAAATATTCCTGTTCCCTTGCCTGAGGCAGCCTTCAGGCGGGGAAGTCATGCGATCCTCATCTCCCTCCCACTGTTATGAGAGCTTTTCCCTTTTTGAGGCTTCCCTCTGGCAAGCGGCACTACTTTCCCTCATGTCCCTCCAAGAAGGGGCCCACTGGGCCCATCAGATCAGTTTCTGGAGTTACAGGCCTGTGCTGCACACAGAGAAACCTCAGCTCTTCCAGCGTATAACCAAGGTTGGTGGGATTTTTTAAATTGAACACCACACACTGGTTCCTAGTTAGGGGAATTCCAACCTGCTGAGCTGGGTCAGAGCTTTGATTTTACCTCTTCGTTTTTGAGGTGGGGAAGAAGAGACCCAGAGAGGCATAGTGATGTTTTGACCACAGAGCTAGCAGAAGTGGAGTTAGGCATTAGTAGAGTAGTACCTCTCCTCTCATGGATTCCCACATTTAGTCTTAGTCCTATTCCCTCCCTCCCTTCAAACTCCTCATCCCATTCTGACTTCTTCCCCTTTAATCCTTCCCCTGGGAATCTGGGCGTGAAATGCTAAGCAGCTCCACCCAGTCCTGGAGGCACTGGAGAGGGGCAGTTGGTCAAAAGAGTGCACAGGCATTTGCATCTATGTCTGTTTGTCCTTCTTTCTCCTGGTCATGCATTTGCATTAGAAGAGCAGCTGCCTGGTTTACAGTGCATCCCAGTCTAGGTGGTAGCAGCCGGCCCCAATCCAGAGGCTTCTGAGCTGGGCTGGAGTTGATCTCTGAGACCCTCTCCTGTTCAGTTTGTGGGATTCCATAGCTTCATGCTGTCCTGCAGTAACCCATGCACATCTTTCTCCTGACTGCCCCTGCTCATTCCGGTTTTACCCACATCTACAAACTTGGTAATCCTGGAAAGCCCTTAGCACCAGGCCTGGCACAAGGTAAATGCTCATTAAATATGAGCTACTTTTTTTAGCCCCACATGCAGAGACTCACATCAACCTAAACCTCAATACTAGAACAGAAGTTAAGGGTAAGGGATCCTGTTGGCAAGGGACCGTTTTTCTTGCCATAGGAAACTTTCCCAGGACACCTGAGTGATGATTTGCAAAGCATTTATTATTTAACAGGAAGATCAGGGTACAAGAAATACAAAGACAGCATGTTAGCAAGCCCAGGATGTTTAGATCAAAATGGGAAATGGGATTTTATGTCTCAAAATCCAGTTTGCACAGAACTTCTCAGGAACAGGGCTGTTGCATGAGGTGAGGGGACCCTGGGTCTTCACAGCATGGATTATGTATGCAGTGGGATACATAATCTGCAGCAATACTAGCAAAGGCTAGTTCCTCGCAAGAGCACATTGCCCCAGAAAGGACTTTGCTCCTAGGGCACAGCACCTTTCCTTAGTGAAGCAGGCCTTCCTTAATGTTACTTGGTAACCCCCTTTAAATGACCCCTCACTGCCTCGTCCTGTCTTTCCCTAGTGGTGATCCCCAGCCTGAGGAGGGTCAGTGAGGTTTCCTGAGCTGCTGCTTACAATCCAGCACACAGCACCACTTCCCCAGCAGGAACGAAAGTGCAGGCAAGCCCTTGCTTGACACAAACTACCTTAAACTCCTTTCCAATTTGCTGTCAAACAACAGGCAAGAGATCACACAAATTGCCTTGCGAAATAACATTTCCCTTTTCTGTCCCTGGGTTTTGCAGGCCTGGTGCTGACAACTCCTGGAGAAAAGAGGGGATCTGGGAGCAAAAACACGGAATTCTACTGCGAGTTATGGTTCATAGTGCTAATGGCAATTCTGGGCTTGATCTTGCTGGCCGTTTTTCTGTCCCTGATGTTACAAAGAAAAATCCACAAAGAACCATATATTAGAGAGAGACCTCCCTTAGTGCCTCTCCAGAAGCGGATGTCTTCATTGAGTGTCTACCCTCCGGGGGATACCCAGATGGTATGTCTCTGAAGGCAGGCCCCATTTCCCTGTCATTAGACTAGATACTTGCTTTTATTTAGAAGGAAATGTTTTCAGAGCCATAGTAACAAGGGATTAGATGAGTTATGTTTGACTAAATGTGGGTGCCAAGGGAGGCTAACTATAGAACAACATTCTCAACTTTGGCTACACATTAAAATCACCTGGGGCTGCACATTAGAGTGAATGTTTGTGTCCCCCTAAAATTTATCGTGTTGAATCATAATCCCAATATGATGGTATTAGGGGGGGTGGGGCCTTCAGAAGGTGATCACGGATGGGATTATGACCTTATAAAAAAGGCCCCAGAGAGGCCCCCTTGTCCCTTCCCCCGTAGAAGGGAAGCCAGAGGACCCCAACGATGAACCAGGAATAAGAACCCCTACCAGACACTCCACCTTGATCTTGGACTTCTCAGCCTCCAGATCTTGAAAAACAAATCTCTGTTGTTTATAAGCCACCCAGTTTATGGTATTTTTTTCTAGCAGCCTGAGTGGACTAATACATCCGGGAAGCTTTAAAAAATACCATTGCCTGGGCCTTATCTTAGAAATTCTGATTTTATTAGCTTTGATTGGCCTGGGGATTGGTATGCTTTTTCTAACTCCAGAACTGATTCTAATGTGCAACCAGGAAGGAGTATTTCTGCTCCGTAGAATACAGTCGTATATTGACATCACCTGGGGAACTTACAGGTTGCAGAGCCGTGCCTGCACGGTTCAGTTTGTCCCTCTGCCCTAACGCCCTGAGCCCCTGAGGGGGATGGCTCCTCATAGGTCAAGACCACCCACTCCCAAGATGCGAGGTCAGGCAGAGGTCTGTGGGTGAGGCTGCGCACACCGTGCTGCGGGCAGACCGTGGGCCCGCGGACTCACCGAGGTGGTGGCTGGCGTCGGTGGCGCCCTCTGCGGTGGGGCCAGGTCTACCTGAAAGAGTGGGGGATGCATGTCTCCAATTCCAACCTGCGGGGGAGTTTTTCTCCACGCCAGCAAGCAGTCCTCTGATACCAGCCGGATGTGCGCGACTTCAAGGCGGCTCTGGCTCTGCTTCCGTGGGTCTCAAGGGTCCGTCCTGCTGCTGCCTTGGGCAGCTCACACTCTCACCTCATTCGGGTCTCTGCACAGAGTCACCTTCCTTCCTTGTAAAATGGAAGTCCCTAGATCCTGTTAAAAAACAGAATTCAACCAAGTGAATTTTAAGGTCTAGTTGGCTTTATTTAGCAATTCATGAACTGGGCAGCATCTCATCTAGCAAGTAGAGAAATGATCTGAGGAGTTACACAAAATGGCAGATTTTTATAGATAGGAGGGTGGGGCAAGACATTATTAGCAAAAGAAAAGAAGGGATTGTTTCAGTCAAGATCACCTCCCTTAGGACGAAGAGCAGGGGGTCTTATTGTGCAGGTTACCCCATCTTCTTTGGGGGGAATGGAGAGGGCTCATGTGACATGTCACCTCACTGGCCCGAAAATTCCGGGTCAACTAAGATTCCATTTCTCCAGGACATTGACACTATAATTAGGCTAGACATTCAGAACGTTTGGTGACCTTGCCCAGCACTCTGGGCCTGTGACTTTCCTTTTTAACACTCCTTTTTACACACCCACTTTTCCTTTTTCATAGTTTCTTCACCACGAACCATAGCAGATATGTTTGATTCCTTGAATAGAATGTAAACTCCCTGAGAGCAAGGATTTTTGTGGCCCATTTACTGCTGTGTGCCAACACCCAGAACAGTGCCAGGCATATAACAGGGACCCACAAACGATTGTAGAATGAGTGGATGTTGAGTGGCCAATGAAAACCACAGCCCTGTGCTTCTTCTGTTCAGTGTTCAGTCACCAGAGATTGTCACTGCCCACGCTGGGGCCTGTGGAGCGCGAGGACAGTGGGAGGGCAGTTCCTGGGCACTGCTGGGTATGTCCGCTGTGCAGGGAAGTGAGCTTACAGGAAAATTTACCCCTGTCCCGTGACCCAGTCCCTACAGGCAGACACCTCTGCCTCCTGAACCTGCCTGAGGAAGAATCCGGTTTTGCTCATTTGGCTAGCTTAGTGGTCAAGGAGCGATCACATCGTTCCTCTAGGGAAGTTACTCTGGAGGGTCCTATTGCTCAGGGTTTTCATGTATCCTTAAGCTCTGTTTTATCACAGTGAAGCCCTTGAACTATGAGTGTCAGCATCACATAGGGGCAGGACCTGCACCTTGAGGAAGAAACCCAAGAGCCTGCCATTTCAATCGGTCCTCAGGAATTCTGATGCACAGTGAAGTTTGAGAACAGCCATAACTAATACAGATCCTATAAGCAGTGTATACAGTCCCATAATCAATAAAAACATACGGGCGTATCACACGATCGCACTTATCTGAGATGTCTAAAATAGTCAAATTCATGAAAGCAAAGAATAGAATGGTGGTATAAAAACATTGAAGAGAAATTTAAAAATTTAAAAACAGCAATAAATAAATAATAGAATGGTGTTTGCAAGGGTTGGGGGGAGGGGAAAATGGAGAGTCGCCAACTAAGCGGTATACAATTTCAGTTCTGCAGAAGTTCTAGAGGTCAGTGGTATTCGAAGTTGAATACTAGTGAAGGCAAGTCAAACTAAAGAGAGTACATATAATTCAAATTAGAGCAAGTTGGAGTCCTATGTTCAGTGTCCCAGACTGACTTTATTTTTGCTTGGATAAGCCAGTGAGAGTTGCAGCGCGTGCACACACACACACACAACAATCTGACAAGCTCTGGTTGCAGTGTCGCTGTAACCCTGTCCCAAACACTCCTGTCCTCTGACCAGGTAAGATACCCTTTGACACCAGATACACACTGGAAAAAAAGGATTTTAGGCTGCACTCCAGACAGAGAAAAACGAAGCAGAGATGCCAGGGAATGAGAGAGCCTTTCATATTTTGTTAACATTTTTAAGATCACACAGCATGAAGTATAGCTGTTTGAGTCAGGTTTTTACTTGTAATTTAATTGCTGACTTGACGATCCTCTCATTCCCTGTAATACTGAAGAAATAATGCTGGCGGAACTCACCTTAAATATCAAGCAATTACTTTCCACTCACCACATGATTTTAGTTGCAGAACCATGAATATACAGATGTACCTCAGCATGATTGTGTGATTATGCTACCACTGGAAAAACACAAAGAATTTGTTTTATGTTCATTTTGATTGTGCCAAATGCTGATGCCTCCCCATTTGTTCTCAGTTTGACTCCGTGGCTGATGTATCTGATGTGTCAAGCAATGTTACCCTGAAAAGTTACACTATGCACTTTGAGGTACCTCTGAGTGCTGCGTGCGTGCATGATCTTTTGCATGGTGTGTTGACTGCACAATGAAAAGCGAGAATATATAGCTATATCAGAAAGCCTCAGATGTTTAGAGCAGCTAGATGTTCTTACAGAACCTAATCATAGAGTGCTTTTGTCTTTCTGATGTTAGTATCAGACCTGATTTATTTTGGAGGGTTGAATGCTATACCAAGGGGAACGATATGGAATGAGGAAAGGAGGAAGGAGTCCCATTTCCCTACACGAATCCAAGGATTTCAAGATGTAATACAACTGCGTTCACTTAGTGGGCAACCACCAGAGAACATGGTTAACTCTGTTCAGGGAAATTGGAGGTCTCAAGAAAGAGGCTATATGGTGACACGCATGAAGAAATTACTTTGTCAACCCACCCTGTCACCCACCCCACCACTTTGCAGAGCAGCAAGCCCTCATGGACAGGGAGCAATAACCACAGCACTAGTACACGAGCTCGCTAGGTGCTAAGAAAACTGGGCGTCTGATATGACTGCCAGTTTATTATCTCACCCTTGCCAAGAAACCAGGGGCCACCGCATTCCAGACAAGCTACATTCTGTAGAAGTATGTGCAAACAGTGTCCTCTTCATTAATGTGTGACACAATTTTCTGCCCTATTTCAAACCTGTTTTCTTTCGACATTGATCACCAACAGCAACTTCTTTGCAGGGATTAGCCGATACCAAAATCCCCCGGGCTGGGACTCCTGTGAGCATTAGGAGCAGCCGGAGTATGTCTGTGCTTCGGATCCCGAGTCGGCGCCCAATCAGCCAAGCTCAGTCCCACGGCTCTCTGCACCGCAGCGCCAGCCAACTCACAGGCATTCAAGACAAGAAAGCCTCGACTGACGACTCCCTGTGGGAAACCGTCATGGGCCATGACAGTGGATTGGTGAGTCCATTTCCTCACCCAGAGCCTTAGCTGAACAGCCAAAAAGAATATTGGTAAAGAGATGGTGTGGGGCTCCCCATTCCTCCCTGAATGTGCCCCACGGCACTCTGGCACCTGCCGACCCTCTACCCAAGTATTTTGTAATGACCTGGTTACTAGTGCTACTACAGATGTTTGATGAGTAAGTTGGACACTGTCTTTAGCACATAACAGATGCTCAAAAAATAAATGCATGAATAAAAGACAAGCTCTATTTCATTCACTTGAACACAAGGCAGCTGGGGAACACTGGAACTGGTCTAAAAGAAGGCATAATGCACAAGCACCTGTTTTATAAAAGGGGGTGGAGGGCCACATCACTTATTCGTGCTGGTTTGTGGTTAGAAGAGAAAGAGTCTTTCTCACACCAGGCTAATTGGTTCCTTTCCAAGAAACTCACACAATCATGATAACTAAGGGTATTACTGTTTATGATTTGCATCTTTCAGAATTTCAGTCCAGTGGGTACAAATAATTGACTCTTTGAAAGTTAACCTCATCATTACCTAACATTTGTGCTTCCAATGGCCAAAATGAATAAAATCCTAGAGTTTTTACCAACCATCCAACTTCCTAGATATTTGCTGGAGAACCATTCCTTCGCGTGGCTGGATAATAAACAGCCAACTGAGAACTTAGCTCCTCTGCTTACTCCTCTGAGGCAGATTTTTTCACCATTTCTTCCAACCATCTGCTTCTGCTTTGGGACTCTCACTCATGTTTCTCTCTAAGTTCTGTGTCCCTGTACTTCCATGAAGCCTTCTTAACTTCCGGCCAGTAAAGCAGGTTGCCTGGCTCCAGGTCCCAATCACACACAGTGAAAAATAAAATACACAGTCTGTCTGGCTTATTCAGGATGATGACACTGAATACATTTTAAAATCATGGGCTTGCTTGATGTTGTTGACTATCGAGCTCCGTGATTCCATTTCAGTTCTAAAGTTTCTAAATGACAAGAATAATTATATTAGGTTGGAATATAAGGAATTATCAGCTGATCACGTTTGACATGCAAAATGGCAGTTTCATATGGTTCAACAAAACACATTGAGAACTCAGATGCATGTGTCTCTTTAACAAGACACACAACTAGTAATTTTCTTGTGGAAGTGAGATCTTAAAAATAGAGTCTGATTACCAAGCCCCATTCTGTATTGCCATTTTTGCTTACTTTTATAGTACTAGCAGTAGGCAGTATGCAAAGCTATTCAGTAAAAGCTTTTGAAGATGCCAGTAGTTGGTAAATCATGTTCATTATAGCATTATAATCAACATTACTGGTCCAATTCAATAAATAAGAAATACAGTAAATACGAAGTACAGTAAGAGAGTAGGAAGAAATGGAGCACAACAGCTTCCAGTCTGGCAGTTCTGCTTACATTTTGAAGTAAATCTTAAATTTGTATAGCTACAGATAGGTAGGTAGGTAGATATAGATGATAGATGAGACAGAACTCCACTTTACAAATGAGAAAACTGAGGTTTAGAAAGATTAAGATAGATGTAGCACAATGTAACACTCAAATGACATGTTTTGGATTAGTCTACAGTTCATGTGTGCATATCACGCGGATCTTTTCCATAAAGTAAACTTAAAGCAAGGACCTCAAGTCTCAAAGCACATCTTACAGTGCTGAGCACAGAATATTAACCTTTTAACAAAATACTGAGTACCTTTCACATTGAACTGATACAACTATGAACTGACAGCACACACTACTGACAACAAACATCCTAACGAATGACAACTGGCTTATTTTTCAGTATGTGGATGAAGAGGACCTGATGAATGCCATCAAGGGTTTCAACTCTGTGACCAAGGAACACACCACATTCACCGACACCCACTTATAGAAGGATGGAAACTTGTAAGGCGTAAATCTGGGATGCAGGCTCCACATCCTGTTCTGGTATTGCTGACTGTTCTGGTATTACCGTAGATGCTAAAAATGGCTTGTTATTCTGTACCTTTTTTTAAAAATCGAGGATTTAAACAAAAAATGTTCCTAATAGAGGTCTAAGAAATGTTATTTTTCTAGATGTCTGAAATGAGGGATACTAGCCAAATGAAAATACTTAATTTGCTCTACTTGTGTGTGGAAGATAAAAAAGCATGTAATTTTCATTTGATTCTGCCTGCCAGTAACACCACTGATGAGTGATCAATGGCAATTTCAAATCAGCCCACAGTGGTTACAAGTGAAAAGAAGTTACTAGTTTAAAACTAAGGAATTCTTCTAAAAGGGTGTCACTGCTATTTCTTTCAATTCCCTATTTCCCTGAAGTGATATGATACTGTAAGGAATGATCACTTCTTACAGTGATCGTTTCAAAAGTCCCAATTTCAGGCCAAGCCGAATCACTTGGAGAAAAACAAACTCCATATTGAGGGTGCAAGCTTAGCTGAAGGTTCTATTTAATTCCAATGTTGGAGGATAAAGATTCATCAAGATTTTTGACAGAGTACCACATGAACTCATGTCTGTTCTTACATTTATGACTCTTCTGAAAATCTAAGAATTTGCTTATTTACATATTTCAGAGAGAAATGAAATCTTCCAATAGAGACATCACCTATTTTAGTCTTGAAATTTCAATCAACATACTTTAAATAAAACTCTGTCAGTTCACCTAATACCCCGTAATAGTGACATCTTCAACTTCGCACATTTCACATGGAAACTACTCTTCTATTTGTAGTATTTAACTAGCCTATGTGGAATTAAAAAAGCAAAACATTGTGCTTCCAGCTTTGAAATTACCGTTTATATGTAAACACAAAATGATACATATGCAAATGTATCAGATACACATAGCCTATGCAATATTGTGTACATAGCCCTTCATCTCAGAGACCTACTCCCTATTTTAGCCCTAGAATCACTAAGAGCAGATGATATTCAACAGTACCAGTTTCCATGGGTCAAGTTTGTCATTGCTCTATTTGGATTAAAAAGTCACTGGTGGAAGTCCTACAGTCGGAAACATTTTTTCCCAGGTCATCAACATAAAATTAAAGATATTTAAGTTTGCTCTTCATGGAAAACAATATAAGAAAACCTCTCTTCCTTCTTAAAGGTCTTAAATGATTCCAAGGAGTTTTTTTGAATCTTTCTCATAGACATTGTCTGGCAATATTTCATCAGTTACATTCACAGGTAGGTGGGTTTTCTCACATCTAGAGCCAGCAAAAACTTGTAAAATAAAGGGATAATTTTACTTATTGTCTGTAAACTATTCATTAGTCCACTGTTCAATAAGGACTGTGGACAGTTTGGGGATACTGAGACTTGAACCAGATCTGTGGACAAAATCAGTATTAAGCAGTTCTGTCCCCCTTGTTAGAACTTTCAGCAAACAAATCTGAAATAATTGTGCATAGTTAGCAGTGGAGGTAGTTTTTTTCTCGCCAGAAGTTTTATGCTTCCTGAAATGGAAACTGAGGATTGACAGTTCATTGGTTTTAATTCCCATTTGTTAATTCTGGGTCAATTAGTAGTTTAAAGCTGGCACAAATGAGCCTTAATCAAGGCTGAGTTTCTGATGTACATAAGCTATTTAAGGTATATATGGAAGTTCTCTTTTCCCATCTTACAGCCCTATCCTTGGTCTATTCTTCTGCACACAGTATTTCCTAGTCACAGGTGGATCTAGATTGAACTCATCCTCACTTTAACTAGATACCTTTATCACTTAAGTCATTTTCCACTTAGCCATTATATGATCTAGCTGAATCATTTACATTTTGATCCCATAGATCAGAATGGACAGAAGCCTGTAGGGCTTTCACCAAGAACAATACCCTGTGCAATGCTGTTAACCTTACTTGTGTTTAGTTCGGAGAAGCCCAAGATTTTGTTATGCTATTTTATGTGGTATTGTGTGTCAAGTCTCCATTAAACACTACAGACTCACCCCTAGATTCTGACTCAGTTGGTCTTGGGTGGGGCTGAGGCTTCCAGGTGTTCATAATGTTGAGGAGCAATGATGTAAAACCTGAAGGGACTAGTGTATAGGAGCAATATGCTGTGCACAGGTACTATATTCCTTGGCCTACCACTTCTCCTTTACAAACAATGAGGAGCAGCTCCCTACAAACCCCTTTAAATCTGCTCTAAATCTCCCAACTCATCACTTGAAGAGACCACATTCTCTAAGAACCATTAGGAATATTTTGTTATTCCTAATATAACTGTTTGCTAAGAGTACATAGCCATGTTTTTATAAGCTCTACTAACAATTGTATTTATAGGTGATCTATTGTCATTTCTACTAAATGGAAAACCTAAATTTGAATCTGTACCTATGCTGATCTAAAAATCATACTGGCATCAATTCAACCTGAGTAACCTGCAAATAAAATACAGGCCAGGTGGAGTTAATTCAGTGATGAAGAACTTAGTTGTGTCACATACGAATTATTTCCAACACACAAATATCATGTAAATTACCTAAAGATGCTTTGCTTAATATTTTAATGTAAACCATGTTTAACACATTTATGAAAACACTTAACAGCTCTGAAATGTATGTACAATTTATGAATAATAATAAAAGTGAGCCCATTTAGGAAAATAGGATGTTCTGGATAATACTGTCAACCGCCAAAGAATGTACATTAGTCAACTGTGGTGCTTTTTTCAAAACATGAGTCCCAACCACCGGAGATTCAAACTGAGCAGATCTGGAGGGATGTCGGATAACTACACACATATCCTCTCAGGCGATTCTGACATATAAGCCTGGATGAGAAAGTCAGGAACAAAGACCACAGGCTCCTGCAACAGACAGACTTGGGTTGAAAAGTTGGACTCAGTGACTGAGGAGCCTTGTGGCTACGTTACTTATCCTCAGTGGGTCTCAGTGATCTGTGAAATGAGGACATCATGACCCACCCAGTTGGTGTGACAATACTTACAAGTGCTGCTCTGAAGAACAGGACTGCTTGAAAAACTCTCATCATCAGAATTATAATTCTGTTCTCATTTCTTACCGATTACACAGGTACATTTATTGATTTTTTCCTCTTTCAGTCACAAAAACCCTAATGAGGTAGGTATAATAATGAAAGAATTTAGGCATAGCAAAGATAATCTGCTCAATGTTACAAAGTTAAGTGCAGAGGAGAATCAAACCCCTACTAAAAAAAACATCAAGGTTCAAACTTTCAACCTCTTGTAAATGAAAGAAGTAAAAAAAGATTTAACTTGTAGTATAATGCAAACTGTGGTATAGTGAGTTGCCTTTTATGGCATTTTACTATATACTAGTTTTTTGTGTTTTTCTTTTCCTAAATGAACTTAACACTCTTGAAAAGGCTGGATAAAAACTGAATTTCTTCTCTTTAGTTTTCTTGTCCACCCAACTTTTACATGACTGTGAAAACAAGAAAGAACAGTATGAGATAAATAAAAACCCTTAGAAATACTGAAATTATGCTTTGCTTAATATTTCACTCATTGACAAATATGTTGGTTTCCATACATATTAGTCTCTTTCCTCCCTCCCCCACTTTTACTATAAGAAGCAGAGATGCACAAACGCATGCAGGCGCACTTTAAACAGGATAACTGTTCCTTAAATAACAGAAAACACATAGTCTCGATCATTTTTATTTGACTTGATAAATAAATACAAGAGAACTGTTGTGAAACCATTAGCAATATAGTAAACTTTAAAGAATCTATTTCAACTTCACTTGTATTTCTTGGAATGGGAATATATATATTATTCACCAATAAATGCTTAATGTTTTAAATTTACAATTACCCTATTTGCAGAAACTTGAAAATCATTCCAACTAAATGAAAAAAGCTGTACAAAAATTTTCCTTTTGTTCTTACAATTCAAAATATATTTAAAATAACATTTTAACAGTAGCCAAAACATTTAACCAAAATTCAGAATCGCATTCTCATAAGCTCAACAAAATGGTCACATTCTAATATAATAACATCAATTATTAACATACAAAAAAAAAAAATACAGTGGCTCCTAAAGCAAGACATACTAGCAAGTGGTACAGTTCTCTCTTCTGGACACACAGCTCTTTCCTGATTGTTTTTATTCCATCTGTTCAAACACAGACAATTGCTCCAACTTCAAAGAGAGTTTAAATAGATTTTTGGCATTTAATATTAGTGATTCTAAGATTTAAGAACTCCAACAACAAGAATCAGAAAATGACCAACAATTAAAACAAAATTACACTAAGGGACTTGACTACTATGTGCAGTGTAATCTGGTATTCAACATCGATAGTGTTTTTGAATTACGTATTTTTTCACAACATAGCACCTCATCAGATATCTGGTAAACACTCTGCAATTACAATAAGGGTTCAGAGACTAAGTTCCAAAGACAAGTATGTGATTTGTTGAACATAACATTTCAAAATAAGTCTTGAGCATCATCAAGGTCAGGAATGCAGCCTGCTGGCTCGCGCCCTGTAAGGGGTGCTCATCTCTGCACGCACCACCTTACTGAGGGGGTACTATGCTTCCAAAATCCACAAAGTAACTAAATATTGAAATGGACTCCTGCTTTACAAATGATCTGTCACATGTACTTGAAAAACTAAAAATAATTTTCCAAAAGGTCAAAAGAGATATATTTCATCTTCTTATTCCAGGTAATTCTGTTAAAAAGATACTAAGTGAAGTCCATTTTTAATTTGTAAAAGTTTTGGTGTAAAAACTAACGTATTGAAATCCAGTGAAGCTTAACCTTCATCAAACTTAACAAAACAGCTATTCATTTTGGTGAGTTTTCACAAGCTGTACTCTTGACCTGAAAAATCACCTTTTTTATGCCGAGGAGATGCAGTGGTCTTTGTAGGAGACGGGGATGCAGTACCAGGTGAGTCGGTTCCTCCGTCAGACGTACTTGGTGATGACGCCAGGTAGGGAACTTTCCTTCTTCCAAGGAATCCTCCCCCTTCAAGTCCTCCTTTCTTCCTTAATTCCACTTTACTGTCATTTTCATCTTCTGATGACTTTTTCTTGGATTCTAGAAAACCTTCAGCTACTTTATGCACATCCAATGCACTATCTGATTCTCTGGAACTTTTTATTTCTGGGCCAGGAGACTTTTTCTCAGACACATTACATTCCCCTGTTCCCTGCTTCACTTCAGCTTGTATTGGACCCAAGCTACCATTTTCAGGGACAGCTCTCTCTACATTTCTGTTTAAATTAATAGTCTGGAAGTCCCTGTAACTGTGAAAGCTCTCAGTCCTTCTTGCTCTTGCTAATAAAGGACTCTCTCTGTAAGGCCTCATGGAGCCATAAGTAGCAGCTTCATGGATGGTATCATGGTGCTGGAGCTGAAGGCTGAAATGCAATTGTTTTTAAAAATTATACTTCAGATTTCTTTCTGGGATTTTTCAGGGGCACATCTCATTAAACTACCAATAAAAACACATTACATAAATATGTCAAGAATACTATACTTCATTTCTATATATTAAAATACACTTATTAACAATCCATATTTATGTATTTGTGTGTATAAAATTACCAATGTAAATAATACCACATACATATATTCACAGTCAAGCTGGATTTTTGAATAACTGAAAAAAGCTGGGGAGGAGAAAAAACAACTTTAAAACCAATGTGGAACTAGTATAATTCAGTAATTAATTGGTCCTCTGTTCAGACTTTAGAATTTTTTAAAAAATATAGTAGCTAAAAGATTTATGTCATTGTATTAAAAATATGTAATGCTTAAATGTAAGATTGGACAAGATAATGTAATCACTGTAATGAACACATCCCTAAGGCAAAAGGAACAAAAGTTACACATACTATCCAAAGTGACATGTGATTTTTCTTATTTCCTTTGAATAAATTCTTGATCACATAATAGGCATTTAAATTGAGAGGTAGAAATTTAGTAAAAAATGTTAAACATCTGAGTATCAATATAAAGTCTGAATTGAAAATGTACTTTGAAAAATATGGCTTTTAAGAAACTACATGATTATACTATCTCAGCCCATTTGCCCCAGGGCAATCAATTCAACTTAACCACGTTCAGCTCTTAACCTACCTAGAGTTTGACTCACGCAGACGGCTCTGCTGAAGCACCGACGTGGCGGGACTGATGTTAGGAGTAGCACAGCGAGATGTGCTCAAATCGCACTGATCCAGTAATTTGAGTAGCTCTTCTTCAGTCGGACCACCTACATCTTGGGAAAACATACACTCATTATTATCCCTTACATCAAAAGCTTCCCCATGACAATCATCTTTCCACAGGGAACCTACCCTTATCTTCACTTTTGTTAACCATATCCATAGCGGTGGTCAGATCCCACATTTGGATGCTGCCGTTAGTGTGGCCTGTGAACAAGTAGCGCCTTGGCCTTGAGCCCATTCTACTGGATCCCTCACATTCTCTGACTGTAAATGAGGATATTGTAGTACAGTCAACAGCCTGGATCTCACAGATTCTGCAAAAGATATCATACAGATGTGAACCATGGGGAGCAAATAAGATTTTATAGCTCAGGTTTTTAAAATTGTTTATTTGCAAAGTTACAGTTGAAGAGCCAATGCATAAAACAGATTTAAAGGAGACAAGTCAACAGAATAAAATACAAGCCTTGTTTTTCTGAATCTAGAGAAAAGGCTCTTATAAAACAACGTATTGAATAACTGAAATAAAGTAAATAATTTAAGTCAACCTTAAAAATAAAATACAAAAAGTCTTGGTGGGAATCAATAATTCTTTAAAAGGAAGTTATGAAATTAACAAGGCAGAAAGAAAGAAACTAGAAAAGATTCTGAAAAGCCATTTAAGATGTATGTGTATATTTAAAAAACCTGAAACCAGAATAAATGTATAGCTGGAGATTAAATAATATCCTCCATTAGATTAGCACTCTTAATTTTTTCAAAGCATTTTTATAGTTATTTCATTAATTTTTGTTTTAACGATAATAAGAACCTGGGAAAGAGTAATTATCATCCACATCTGACAAGTGAAAAAAACCAAAGAATGATGTCAGTATTTGCCAAAGTCTAGTAAAGGTTAGGTGAACTTTACCTTGACTGAATTACATATCCTCAACCTACCTCAAAACAGAGTTGAGGGGGCTTAATTTAAGAAAAAAGAAACAATTAGTACTAGGAGAATGCAAGATAAAAAAATTAAGGAAGAAGAAATACAATTCATATGAATAAGAGAAACATTATAGGAATAGAATATGAAGCTTAGATGAGCTTCCTAGCAAGCAATGCAGAAAGTGGCTGGGGGCTAGGAGGGGATGTTAACTCCTGGATGTCCACATATAGTGAGAAACTATCCTCATTTCCTTCTTCCCAATCTAAGGGAAAAACTCAGTATTTCATCACTGAGGATGAGGTTTACCACACTTATTTTTATAGATGTCATTTACCAAATTAAGGAATATGCCCTTTAAGTGTGAGGATTTTTTTTTGAACTGTCAAATACATTTATTTTCGGGTTTATCAAAATGATCACAATTTTTCTCCTTTTGTTAATATAGTGAATTACATTTTTAATAACACCTATAAATTGATAGTTTTTAAAATCTAGATTCCTGTCTATGATTAAGACAAAATAAAAACAAAATAAACTTATGTGCATGAAAACAAACATGACTCTGCTCTTTTTATTTTCCTATGGGAGTCTCTGGAATTACTTTCCTTTAAAATGTTTTACAAGGTTTTTTTCCCTCCCCACTTTTGATTAAGCCCTTTCATTTCACTTCTCACTATTAAGAACCTGAACTGTCATTAAACAAAAAGCTTTTACTTTACACACTGGCTTCATTCAGGCTTGATTTTTATTTAACTCTATAAAGTAATTTCTGCTTGTTATTTTTATAGCTATAGCTTTTTCCTCTGGAATTGTCAACTTAAAAATTGTAAAATTTTCATATCAAATTTACCGAGTATCATAATTCCTCCAGGTGGTAAAGATACCTCGAGACAAGTGCTGGGCATAGAAGCCACAGGGCATAAATCTGCAAAGAGGTAAAAAGCTAACCTTTGCAAACAATATGGCTTCTCTCTCACTTACCAACTTTACATTTCCCTGTATGGCCCCGGAAGATGACTGGTTAGCCAGAGACGGGTAAGATTCCTCAAGGGAGGAACAACCTAAGACAGGCACAGTCGCAGGGGGGCCATCAGGTGAGAATTTGGGGATCAACAGTGGTGAGGCTCAGAACCTCACCCCCCCTGCTTTGAGAGAAATCTTCTGCATCCGTGGATGTCTTGCTGCCCTTGTCTAGCCTGGATTAATACTTAGTCCATAGGCACACAACTGATCATCTGATCATCTACATTTGCCTTCTTACAGCACTAAACTATGTTTTCTACCTTTATCTTGCATCTACCTACCACTTCAGCATTTTATTAAAAATAAAAATAATAATAATAATAGGAGAAATGTGGGATCAACATATAAATCAAGTACAAAAATCAAATGAATATTCATATTTGACCTGATGGTTTATAGGTCATATTGCATGATCAAAACCGAAAGTTTCTGTGATGAATGCCCTTGTACTGTTCACCATGTAAGAATTTATTCACTCTGTAAGAATTCGTTCACCATGTAAGAACTTGTTCGTTATGCTTCAGAAGATTGGAGACTGACGAGAATTAGGCTTGAGATGGATTAATGATTGTACATTGAGCATTGACCCCCCTATACAGAATTTTATTGTTGTTAAGAACCATTTGATCAATAAATATGAGAGATGCCCTCTCAAAAAAAAAAATTGTACAATTTGTTTTATTGTGAGGATATTTAAATTGATTATAACACATTACTACTGCTTAAAGTAACAGAAGAGGAAAGACATAACTGAATAAGGATATTAAACACTACATTGTTAGATGTTATGACAGTTTTAATAAACACTTGCAGCTTCTTTACTGAATATTCAAAGAATACTTCATCACAGTGATTTACAACATTTCTTAAGATAGTTTGGCCTCTAACTACATTATAGCCTTCTAATTCATTTTATTTAAAAAAAGCTAATAGTTTTACATAAAAGTCATTTTCTGGAATCAATTCATTTAATAATTGCTGATGACTACATATGATAAACTTTGATGGAAAGAAAACTTATCTCAGAGTTTACTCATTAAAATATGATTAAAGAAAACTTGCTGAAAACTAACCAAGAAATTATTAAAAATACCAGCAACATTAATTTGAAAATCTATAACCTCCTTCAGTGACTAATAGGAAGTTTACTTTTTTCATTTGTTTGACATGCAAAAAATTGTATGTTTTTAAAGAGAAGAAATACAACAGCTCAATGTTTGAGGTTGTAAATAATTATTTTAAAAGAAGTAAAATTTCAGACAAATGGAAAAGGAGAACTAACTTCTACTCAGCATGTATTATAGTCAGGGTTTCAGCAAGATATTTCATGTTTTTAACTCATTTTATCTTATGACATCCTGCCAAGGTAGTTGAACTTTATTTTATAAAGAAACTAGAAATCAGAGAAATAAAGTAACTTAAGTTGGATTTACATATAACTAGTAAGACCAAGTGCCAGAATCAGAATTCACTTCAGCTGTCTGCCATCAAATTCATTATGTCTTTATTCTATAATATCACCAGTCTTCCAAATGTCCACAGTATCAGTGAAAATCTTTAATAAATCCTAGAGAAAAGCACTACGTAGTGTCTTAACTTCAAGATAAAATTATCACAAGACAATGAAAAGACTTTTCTCTCAACAATGTGTTTCTGGGAGCACCTTTCATCATATTTCAAATTATTCAATACATTTCAAAAGACAAATGTGACTTCTGAATATGAGTATCTTCACAGCAAAGTTTTACCTTTTCCCAGTAGATGAGAGTCTTACAAACAGTTTGTTTGTGATGGGAACAACTTTCTGGATAAATACCTGTTGATCATCTCGTTCTCCAAAAGGCCCTTGGTCAAAATGAGAAAATGTCACAAGTTAATTAATATTAACTGGTTTCACTTAACAAAAGGAATATTAACATTAATACCCCCAAATAAAGAATTTTTCATGCCTATCAATAAGGCATCACATTCAGCCAAAATCAGATACAAAATGCTGTTCTGCGAGTATTTCATCTTGCATTAGAAAGCTTTTTTTTAAGGAATTCATATTTTATGTACTAAGGCTATAAAAGCTGAAGGCAGTATTTCACATAATGCTAAACATTAACAGTATTAGAGACTCTGTATAAACTCCATATGTCCTATCTTTGAAAATGTGCTCAGTTTCTCAGAACTTAAAAAAAAAAGTGTGTACAAATGAAATTACTTTACGTATTGATCTTTTTTCTAAAAAGCCAATATGCAAATTCTTATAGTGGAACTTCATTAAACAGAATTTAATTAATTAGAAGCCTGTTGATTCCTGAAAGGTTTTTAATCTAAAAAGAAAGATTCAATTTTTTTACTTTATTGTACTTGGCAAGGCAGGTGACTGATCACATAGGTACAGTAGTTAACCAACAGATCCCTCAGTACTAAAAATAAAAGTATGGTGAGATACAATGTGTACACATTAGATTCTTTCAAATGGGTTCTTGGGGAAAATAATCTGTTTACATGAAGACTCCGTGTGTGTGTGTGTGTGTGTGTGCATGTGCACGTGCCTGTCTCCATGCATACAACCCCTGCTCCACATGTGCATGTGTGTAAACCGACTTTACATACTTTTTGGCTGAAATCAGAGCACATCAATGGAGACATGCTACAATATTTCCTAATGTATATTACAATAAGACTCTTTGTATGTAAGAACAACAGCCCTTTTCTAAAAGCATTGAAATTTTATTTTCAGATTATTAGCAATAAAAGAAAAAATACTCAAGTTTCAAATGTGTATAGCCATCATGACTTTTATTTATAAACAAAAATGATTAGCATTAGCTCATGTTATTTAAATGAGGAAATGTGAATAAGATGAAAAATCAATTAAAAAAAATGAAAAACGATGCTAGAATATAACTGTACATAAACAGAATTTAACAAGATGCACTAAAACTTAAATGAGCTTCACAATTTAAATGAAAAATTTACATTTAAAATCCATTTTCAGATTTCTACTATAGTTAATAACACTTCTGCATTGCCTACACAGTATTTGAAAATGCCCCAAAATGATCTAACCCACCTATGTCATTTCCAGAGGAATAGCTTCCATGACTTTCTGTTTCCTCCAGAGACAGTATCTTGAATGATGCTAAAGGAGTAGAACCTGGCTGAGTAGAGATCATTCCTCTGAATCGTGTTACTGTCCACGTCCGGACATGATTATTATCTGCACAGACTAGGAAAGAAAGAGAACATAACAGTTGTTAAATATAGATAACAGCACACAGGAAACCACTTTTATAAAAACACTTTATTTTTTTCACTATGATCTATATTAGATCATAGCATATCCTGAGTATCAAATGGTAAATTTACCCTGAAATTATACTTAATCTGAAACTAGACAACAAAAATGAAAGAACTGAATATGGTTAACCTTGCTGAAAAATAAGGTATATGAATAAATCTATAGATTCTTATACAAGTAGCCTGCAGGGTATAAATGTAAAAAAGGTGTATGTAAAAGAGAAGATGATGAGTATTGTTTTGTTCC